GCCAGTCCTGTGCCCCATCATCCAGTGCAGCAGCCTCTGCTCCCATCCATGTGGGACCAGTGTGGAGCAGGAGCCTGGAAACCTTCTGTTCTCATCACTCCCCATCTGGGCAACTTCTGGCTGAGAATAAACAGCAGGAGCAGATGTTTGCACGGAGCATCCGGAGGGATGAAGAGATGGGAAGAGCCACGAAGTCAGGACCAGTCGGTTCAATGAGCACAGGCGCGAAAACACTGGAGAAGTGAATCCTGGAATGGTTTGGGGTGAAGGGACCTTAAAGCTCCTCCAGCTCCAACCCCTGCCACGGGCAGGGACACCTTCCACTAGAGCAGGTTGCTCCAAACCCCTGTGTCCAACCTGGCCTTGAACACTGCCAGGGATGGGGCAGCCACAGCTTCTCCATCCAGCCCATCCCAGTGTCCCAGCACCTTCACTTCTGCCTTATCTCCAACCTGAATCCCCCCTGTAACAGTCTGAACCCATCAACCCTTGTCCTATCACTGCTGAAGATCCCTCTCCAGCACCCTTGTAGCCCCCTTCAGACCCTGGAAGCTGCTCTGAGCTCTCCAGCAGCTTCTCTTCTCCAGGCTGAGCAGCCCCAATGTTCTCCCTGGAGCTCCTATGGGAGCTGCTCCAGCTCCTGCTCATCCTCGTGGCCTCCTCCTCCCTCAGCTCCGTGTCCTTACGCTGAGGACACCACAAGTGCACACAGTGGAAGTTCTCCTCCATCAACAGCCCTGATGCCACGCACGGGAGATGGGCTCTGCCTTCTTTGCTGGTGCCACCACTTCCACATGGAGCTGGCTGGACCATTTTGGCCTTGCCAGTGACTCAAGAGGGCCCAGCTTGGGGCAAAACGAGTTTCCTGGAGCTTCCTTGGAGCCTGGGACCTTGTTTGCACCAGGGAAAAGCAGTGACCAGGCAAGAAGTGAGTTACAAGAAGGTTATTTCACTTCTGGATTAGAGCACAACCACATCACACAGATGATGGAGCTGATCAGAGCCTCCTTTGCATATCAAAGGGGCTGCAGTGAAGAAGCTATTGAGAAAGGGGTCAACAGTTGTCCAAGATGAAAGCAGACATCCTGGGCATTAAAGCAGAGATAATGCCTGTGAGAAGAGGCTTTATGCAGAAGCAATGGGGCAAAGCCCATGAAAATCTCAGCTCTAAAGCACATGAATGATGTGAAAGGGAGGACAAGACGCAGAGGCTGAAAATGAGAGGGAGAACCCCCCAGTGAGGACTAAGACAACTTGTTGGCAGCGAATGCAGCCAATGAACCACCAGAAGAGCTCGGCAAGGATGTTCAGTGGCAAAGAACGGCTTTGATCCGGGAGCTGCTGAGGGGCCTGGGGGCTCAGGGTCGGGTTTTCCTTCCGGGGATAAAGGGGAGATGCCCCAACATCCCCCACCTTGGAGCGAGCTGGATGGGTCATGTCCCTGTACCAAGCTCTGCTCCCTCTTCACAACCCACAGCACAAGAGGGCCTGGAATTAGCTCTGTTTCTATGAGCTCCAGCCCTTCCCATCACCTCCTCCTCCCCAAACCAGAGGATAACTAATGTATACATTAACATTATACATTACCACATGTGTACAACTAATGCCTGGACCAGTTTCTCCCAACTGGGAGTTGGTCACTGGTGCCGTTTCCAGCAGTGCAAGAGGATGGATAAGGAGCAGCTTATCTCTGGGAAGTCTTCTTCTGCTCCACCTGCATCCACATGGACACACCACCCCCAAACCCGAGCTCATGGCGGTTCCTTCCCAGGCCACAGCCGGTTGGGAGCATCCTGCCCCCCCAGGACACCCACTTCAGGAGCCTGGAGTTGCTTTTCCAGCCCAACCGAAGCTCCCAGCCGGAGCTGGGAACGTTCTGTGCAGAGCTGGACAGGACCCAAGACACACACGGGGAGCAGCGACTGCTTTGAAGGAATATAAATACACTCCAACGGCAGCTTCCAGACCTTGGGATGTCGTTATTCCCGTTACCACCCTGTTTGTCTCCTGCAACTCAAAGCCAACGTGATGTTTGTCCTCCTCTGGACCATTCCAGGAGCCTCAAATACCCCTGTTTCCATCACACAATAAATAACCCACGAGAGCCGCGGGCCCTGCACCAGCGCTGGGACGATTCCTGAACCTGGGAGCCTGCGGGATAAGCGTCAGTCAGCGCCAGCGCAGGTCCTGGAGCAGGGAACCCAGCTCCCAAACCTCCCCGCCTCGGTAACAAGCAGCGCAGGGAGAAAACCTCAGCGGGGAC